CATCAGGGGGGTCACGGTAACGAACACCCCGAAGAGGTCGAGTGCATTTCTTTCCCAGGTCAACGATATCATCCACATCAAGAAGAGGCTCATCCGGTAGTTCCTCAGAGACATAGCGCGGTCGAGAATCATTATTCCAACGGTTCGCATGTTGCCTGAGGATGAGGGGCACTGACAGGAGAGCATGGTCTGTCCCAATTCGATGACGCATCTCAGGATAAATGGAGACCTCACCCACCGCAAGACCACGCACCCAAATGGTATCAATGTGTCTGCCCTGTCTTGTCTCGTCCCTAGGGTAATGGGTAGGGAGGTTCCGGTGCCGCAAAACAGGCGCAACCGGTCGACACCCTTGTTGCGCAGCAAGTCCCAACATGTGGTTGAGGTTCGCGGACCCAGAAGCAATGTCAACCCTTTCTTCATCTTCACCCCCAGTCCAGACAACTTCCTCATTGAGGTCGACCCCCAGGATACACGGTAAGCGTCTCCATTTCCCCCCAAGCTCGCGCATGAATTCAGCCACTTCCTGCTGGTAGATCTTGTTGGTTACCCCTGTGTGAGCATGAAGAGATCCAAGGACCACACGTCCACGATTCTTAAGTTTGACGATCACTGCTATACCACGGTCGGTGCACTTGCGAGCAACAACTGAGTCATAAATCTCGTTTGCTATACCCATCCCGGTTCCACGCCACTGGTCAGGTCCCCTGTGCGTAAGCCAAAAGTGCGTATCGCTCTCGACCTCGGTCCAACCAGCTTCCGCGGAACGAGCAACTTCCTGTATTAGAAAGATGTCAGCACTTGCATCAGCGACAGCAAGTTTGTCTACCGGCTGCCCACCCAAATTCCAGTTCGAAACAGCTATGACCGTGCGTTCCTCTTCAGGCACGGTGGCCATTTTGGTGAAACTCGCCCCCTTGTGTCATGGCTCTTGTTGAAAGGCCGAGGTGACGTCGGCCCAAGTTGCACCGGTGAGCGCCGCAACCGCCCTGATGTCAACCCATCCTAGGCGAAGCTGCATGAAGTCATCCTGGCGATTGGCATCTTTTCTATGGGTAGCGCTGGCGATCTTGTGAGTTCCATTCCAAATCGTCCCAGTGCCCCAGTCAACGTCGAAGGACTCCGAGGCGGCCGCATTCGGGTTGCGGATCTTCCCTGCATCATCCCGAACATTGGAGGCAATCTGGATGACTACTCGACGAGTAAGAGAGCACAATGCCGAGCGCTTGCGGGCTTCAGGTGTCTTGAGAAAGGAGGTCCATAGGTTTCTGGGGGCCGCATCATCACCCTGGGTACTGACAAGGGGAATCTTTTCCTCCCGGACCTTGGTGATGATTTGCCACATCCTCACACGGAGGTCTGCCGGGGACTCACCCTCTCTAAGCTTAAAACGTAGGAGGCCAAAGCTGCGACGAGGGCCGAAGATGACAAGCTTGGTGGTGTCAACCAGGTCGGCAAACTGATTCCCCTCGAAGATCTTCGTGGCTTCCTCTTCAATGATGGATCGCCGAGTGTCAGGTAGCCACCCTCCCACAATCAAGGATCTCTGATCTTCTTCACTAAGTCCATTCTTTCTATCCTCACCCTGTGTTATCCCCTGTGCCATCACCCCGGCATTCTTGTTCTTAAGGTAGTCACCCCAGGGGTCATTCGGGTGTCCATCTCCCGTCTCACCTGCACGGGAGATGCTGATCTCATCGATCTTGGCTTTGAGGCTAGCAATGTCACCCTCAACAGCGTCAACCCTGCGGGACGTT